GCAGTGGTACCAGGATCGCTACAAGCTTCGAAGGGAGTATCCTGCGCGGAAATACACGCGACCATGCCTGCCCAATGCTCTGTCACCACCCTCCGCTCCCACAGTCCTTCCATTTCACACCTTCACGGCTCCTCTCTCGGCAAAGCAGATTCGACAAATCTCGCAGCGTAATGCTCTGCGGATCTCGCTTTGTACGCTTCGGTCTGCGTGGCTTCCGGCAACTGTGTTTCCACCACCATCACCTCCGAGTCCGTGCCTCAACGTCGGCTATGTTAGCTCGGATTTCAACAACCATCCCCTTGCACATCTCATGCAGTCAGTATTCGGCCTGCACGACGCATCTCGAGTACGGGCTATATGTTACGCAACCACAGCGTCCGATGGCTCCATCCACAGACATCAGATAGAACAGGAAGCGCCTCTATTTCGTGATGCGTCGACATGGAGCGTGGAGCGTCTGGTCACTCAGATTGTCAAAGATAACGTTCACATCTTGGTCAACCTCAATGGATATACTCGAGGTGCACGCAACGAGGTGTTCGCAGCTCGCCCTGCCCCGATCCATATGTCGTTTATGGGGTTCGCTGGCACTCTGGGAGCGGAATGGTGCGACTATGTCTTCGCCGATACGATCTCCGTCCCACCCGATACACTGTCTCCTTGGCGACGGAACGTGGACATTGAAGACCGCCTCCGGCCAGAGTCGTGTGTTGAAGACGCCGAGGATTGGGTCTACTCGGAGAATGTCATCTTTGCGCGAGACACATTCTTTTGTGTGGACCACAAGCAGAGTGCGCCTGACGTGGAGAAGGGTCCGCCTAATCTCAAAGACCCTCTCAGCCGCGAAGCATCTTGGGAACAAGAACAAGCGCAACGCTGGAAATTGCGGAAAGAGCTGTTTCCATCCTTGTCCAACACCGCCGTGGTCTTGGGCAACTTCAATCAACTGTACAAAATCGACCCGGCCACCTTCGACATGTACCTCCAGATCCTGAAGGCTGTCCCCAACGCGATACTGTGGTTACTGCGATTCCCCGACCTGGGCGAGCAGAACCTTAAACGCTACGCGGAGAAATGGGCTGGCAAGGAAGTCGCCGATCGGATCATCTTTACCGACGTGGCCGCGAAGGGAGCCCATATCACACGGGCCTCGGTAGTCGACCTCTTCCTCGACACGCCAGAATGCAATGCACACACGACTGCCGCAGACACGGTGTGGTCTGGCACGCCTATCATTACGTGGGGAAAGTGGAGATACAAGATGTGCAGTCGTATGGCTGGCAGCATCGTGGCAAGTGCGCTGCCCGAGGGCCGTGAGGGCGATGAAGCGAGGAGGGATCTGCTCGTCCGAAGTGAAAGACAATACGTCAATGCGGCCATTGAGTTAGCACAGGGTCTGAGATATCCATCGAGCGAAATGAACGGACAGAAACTCGGTCGCGGCAAAGGAAGGTTAATGGATTTGAGGCGCATGCTCTGGGAGGGCCGATGGACAAGTCGGCTCTTTGATACGAAGCGGTGGGTCACGGACTTGGAGACGGCGTACTGGTCTGCCTGGAATAAGTGGGAGAAAGGCGAAGGTGGTGACATCTGGTTATGAACGGCCGAATAATCATCCAGAGCGGAGTATGGTCTCATCGAGTTGAAAGACACTCGACGCTATGACGAGTTTATGACATGGAACAACCCTCCCGGGCACACAGTATCGGACCGGGGGGTCGACAAGGCACGCATTTAGTCTGCCAAAGGACGGGGCGTTGGGATGGGCTTTCAAAGATCGTGTAGGTCTGTCGCGAAGCGGCTGGCTGGTTGAGAGAAAGAATTACCTTGGCCACGCAAGCAAGCGGGATGGGTCTGGTTAGTTATTGTGTGTTTTTGTCATTTGTGAGTTTGTGATTTCTTAGCAAGCGAGCAGGCGCGATGGGATCATCTCTTTGTTGTCATCTGTCGCCATCACATCACGCAGGCAGGCAGACTTGTTTGTGAGACAGACAGAATACTACCTCTAGATCACGCTGGCGACATGCTGCATGCAGCACCACACGAATTCACTCCCGTTTCACCCGAGGTTCTTTGTTTCGTCGCCAGCACACGCTATCCAAGGTGTGCGCAGATGATGAGGCTACCGTGCTCTTATGAACAAGGCGCTTTGAGCTGCGCGGCTGCGTAGTCGACGTACAGGTACAAGTCGGTCGTGGTCGTGGTCGTGGTCGTGGTCGTGGTCGTGGTCGTGGTCGTGGTCGTGGTCGTGGTCGTGGTCGTGGTCGTGGTCGTGGCCGTGGCCGTGGTCGTGTGTCAATGATTGTCTTAGCAGTGCTGTAGTGTATCTTGTATAGGATAGTTCCAAGGAGAACATCTCAAGACCACCCGATGACTTGGAGCAGGATAGTTATGTGTGGTTATATCCTCGATGAACCGCGAATGGCGAATGGCCATCATGGTGTCGGATGTTCGACAGTGGGTTGCCTGAGAGAGTGCTCTCACTTTGTTTTCGCTGGACCATTTGAGGTCACTCTCCATTGCATTGCGTCCGGATGACGAGGACGGACGGACAGATCACGTCGGACCTATACCAGAGCCGGGTTCTGAATACAATCCAGAATACGATCAGGATCAGAATCAGTCCAGATCTGTCTGGGTCGGGTTCGAAACCGACCTGTACTTGCCGATTCAATTCTGCCCTCCGCGAGCGGTTGGTCAGTCGCATGCTCACCCTCTCTAGACTACTTGCTTGGAGGTGGATGTGTACGTGATGGCGCTGGCTGGAGGCGTGGCTGGCAGAGTGGATGGACGTCAGTACTGTGTACATTGTGCTGCCATTGTACAGTGTACTGTACAGTGTGCTGCGCCTCCCTCTTCTTCTCCTTCTTGGTCTTCCTCTCGACTCTTGCCTTGTCAACCTTGCCAGATATCACACCCGCTGTGTCCGTCAGCCTGCCTCTATGCCGCCCTGCCTACCTACTGTCCCTGCGCCGAATAGCGAGCCGGAGTCATCTTCAGGCCATGTCCAGAGTGAACGAGTCCCCAGTGCAGTCTGTGTATACCCTCATCATCACCATCACGGCTGTCGTTAGTGTCGATCATTGTCACTGTCATTGTCATTGTCACCCTCGTTGATTTAAGCTTTCCCTCTCTTCCTTCCCCGACTGACCGATCCGTCGGAGTACGGAGTAAGTTCGACATTACTGTTCCATATGCTTTCTGCTGCGTGCTGTGTACTGGGTACTGTGTACTGTACTCTATAGTATGTTTGAACCCGAATTCGACTCGACTTTTCCCACCACTAGGTCGACCGGTACGTCAGCCCGCATGGCGTGTTCGTCAAACTAATCGAGCGGCCAGACACCCAGCCAGCCTGACCAGCCCAGCTCAACCAAGCACCCAACTCAACCAGGCTAAATGATATGCCGCGGCGTCGGCCGACAACAATGTCAGCACTGCGTACCTAGGAAGTACGTACAGAGTAAAGTAAGCATGTACTCCGTAGTTCTGAGATCTTTCAGACCCCTCATCGACTGTCCTCCGTCTCCTGGCCGGTACGAATAATACTATGACTATGTAGGTACTGTGTACTGTATACTGGGTACGTACTGCTACTGCTACGGTGAGAGCACGCCTTCACCGAGCCGCTGTGGCCGTCTACCATGGAGTCCTCGAGGTGCTGATTAGTGCAGTGCAGTGCAGTCAGTGCAAGGCCCATTTTCGCGGGGCGTCTCCACGATCATTTCTCTCTCAATCACGCAGTCGCTCACTCACTCGCTCACCCCCACTGCTCCTGCACTTACCTGATGGTGCTGGCATGTAGATACTATATAGAATTACAGTGCTGTAGCTTTGAGGATCGTGGTTACGTTTCCCCCTTTCCCCAGGCTTTTCACATGCGCCCGTCAAACTGCCATTAATGTTGTCCAGCTATGAGACGTCTTGCCTTGATTTACCCCGTACAGGGTACTCTCACTCAATCACTCGTACGAGACGAGTCCTCTGTACCGCATACGATGAGCTCCTTCGCCCCGTGATATTCACAGCAATGGTATGCTCGGTCGGTCGGTCGGTCAGTCGGTCAGTCGATCAGTCGATCGGCCAGTCAGTCAGTCGATTCGATTCGAATCCCCGTCTCTCCCGCCTACTTTTGATACTGCATCTCAGCCGTAATGATCACGCCGCACAAGTGTCGTCTCTACTGTAACCACTTCGACACAGAGGGATTTGGTAGCGGCAACCAAGGCATCCTGTCCTATCCTATCCTATCCTGGCGGGCCGGGCTGAACATATAAATACACCACATAACATTATTGTACGTACTTGCGTACTTGGTTGCGTACGAAACATTCAAATACACCACGTAGATTACTCTACGTACTTGCGTACGAGTACTCCGTATGTTGCATGGACGGATGGACGTCCGTAGCATGCACGACTGATGCGGCCCCCGAGTGTCGGCGCTCGCTCCCCCTCGCCGACTCTCCAGGGCCCATCTATTTATACAGACCCTGTCCATACGGCCGTCCCCATGGGTTCCCGGGTCAATGTTTTAACAGAGATGATGCAGTAACCAACTTGTACGGATTTACGGTGGAATCAATCTACTCCGTACTTGTGTGTGATCCCACGATATACTGTAATTATGACTTACTCGTACTAGACCTATGTATGTAATCACGGATCCCTCGTCCCTCACCAGCCACGACTGGATATGTATATTGCTTTCCACCCGGTCCCGGGTCAATGTTTTGACAGAGATGATGACCATTGACCCAACTGTCCTCCGTACCGTATACTGCACTCGCGTCCTCCGTATGATCCACGATATAATTATGGCTGCGCTGCCTACAGTACGTAATCACGGATCCCGCATTCCTCAACCCTCATCAGCTACGACTCGATATGTATATCGCCGTCCATCGTCCGCAATATGACATGACATGAATGACCTCGTCGAGCTTAGTCCTTCCACTCCGTTCTGGCCTGCCCTGATTGATCCTGTCCTTTTTTAAACCATGTTCGCGTCTCTGTTTCTCACGTCCCTCATGGCCGTAGCCAAGGTGGCTGCCAACTGCGCGCACGGCACGTCAGCCTTCCCACGCCTTCCCAACGTCACGGTATCGTCATTCGGGTATGATGCCCTGAAGGGACCGTTGAACTGGTACGGTCTCAACAAGACGGCCAACGTGGCGTGCGAGAAAGGAACGACCCAATCGCCCATTGTCATCAATGCCACCATCTCCACGGTGCCAGGGTCGACCCTGAAGTGGACGGTGCCGGACTATCCTGACGGGGCCGAGTTTGAGAACCTCGGCACCAACGTCGAGGTCATCGTCAATGGCTCGCTCGTGGACTTGGACTCGGGAGGGTCGTACTCGCTGGCCCAGTTCCATTTCCACACTCCGGCTGAACACCGGCTCGAGGACGAGTTCTACCCGATGGAGATGCACTGGGTGTTTGAATCAGAGGGTACCTTGGGCGACTTGCTGAGACTGAATGAGCCGGGTGCTGATATGTCTCGCACAGCCAAACAGTTCGCCGTGGTCGCCTTTCTGGTCGAGTTGTGCGAGTCTCCTGGCTGTACAGACCCGGTCTTGGACACCGTATTCTCGGCCGTCGAAGATATTGCCGTGCCCGGTGAGGCTGTCATGACGGGACCCCTCGCGTTCGGGGAGTTGATCGACAAGTTTGAGAATTCTCAGGTCTACAGGTACGTCAGCATGTAACTAACGTCCTTTCAAGCGAGGCTGAAATCAGATGGGGGAAACAGATATGGTGGCTCACTTACCACCCCGCCGTGCTCCGAGAATGTGGATTGGCTTATCAGCACTGAGTTGCTGTACATCGATGTGCCGACCTGGCTTGCAGTGAAGAAAGTCATCAAGTATAACGCACGGTATACGCAGGATGCCCTTGGGGCAGTGAACCTGCTGCAGAATGTTGCGGATGAGTTATGTAACAGCACGAGTAATTAGCGTGCAAGCCTCGTATCACGCAACTCCTAGTCGCACCGCCTGATGCGTGGATGAGCAAGTCAAGCATATTGCACATTGCCCTGTCAGGCCTGCATGATCCTTTGAGCAGGATGCCAGTGGCACACGCGAGACCGCACAGCACCACGCCAGCCTGACGAAGTGGAAATGCAATTCCGAGGTCCAGGCTGCCAACGGAGGACAATGTAGGACAGCGTTGTAGAAGCCATGATAAGTCCTGCGGTATGATGTGCTGGCCAACCGGTGGGGATGCCGACACCAGCAGGTACCAACTGCTATTCTCTTACCATGGATAAGGCAGGTCGGTTCACGGCGCCAGTGAGGAGACCTGAAGACCTCGTGGGAGGTTGCGCGCGCTTCAGGAAGAGCAGTCCCTATGTGCCAGACACGCAACCGTCTCACCCCCCTCGCGGCGGATTCGCAAGACTTGTCACAGTAAAAGGGGTATATGCGGAAAGTTGGAAGGAGAGAGGGAATCTCCTCCTTCCAGTACGGGGTCCGTCAAGGACAAGATCCCGCACACGCAACCTTGCAACTTCGCAGTTGACCAAGACCGTAGATCTTCAGGGTTGTCGTGTCGACTGGCCAGACTATGCGGGACAGATGTTCCAGACGCTCCGCAACCCCTCCTGTTCCAACTTCCAAGTCACCCGAGTAAGGTTTACGGAGTACTGTGTGGGTGCTTGTGTGCGGAGCCCAGTGTACTCCGTACTGAGTACTTTACGTACAGGGGATAGAGTTTCCCCAGCTGGATTCGGTTCCCTGTTTGGCGACGCGGGACAGTCTCCGGGCGTCGCGTCCAATCGCCTCCCAGCGAACGTCTCGATGCGATATCGACGATCTTCACGGATGAGGAAATTGTGGCGTCCTCGGAAGTGTATTGGAGGTCGCGCTGGAAGTTAGGCTTTCGGAAGCACATTGTGTAAGGACGAAACAGGTAAATGGCTCATTCATTGAGCGTGGGGCGGTCAAGGCGGGTGCTCGCTCACTGGCGGTGTTGGTTGGGCGCCTCAGTCAGTGAATAGGATTTGCCAGTAGAGATGTTTTACATAGTAGGGTTTGACTGACCACAGTAAGTACTGGCGTAAGTGCGGTCCGGTCGGTTTCGAGGAGGGTTGGGCGTCTACGCAGCATTGACTTTGGGTTGGGCGCGGACGTCAAATGCGGCAGGAAGGAGACTGACTCTGTACTGTGTGTTGTGTGCCGTCTACGGAGTCCGTGGACACAGTGATATGGAGATAGGGGCGTGTCGTGGGAAGTTTCGAGCGGCGCAGAGTTTCTTCGTGGTTGTGTCCAATGTCTTTCAATCGAGTACGCGGTGTTGACGGACCGTAGGACACCAGACGAAAGGAGGTGACCGTCATGCACCGACCTTCGCTGCCCAACACGTTGTGAGTCTAGTTGGCAAAGGCGGCCGCGCAGTACAATGCAGTGCAAAGCAGTGCAGTGCCCGTTGATGGCATGGCCGGTCCAGCTGCGTTAGGGAGTCCTAGATCCTACACTGCAATGCACTGCAGTGTACTTTTGTAGTCTAGTCCGCAGCTGCAAGCAGACCAAGGCTTCCTGTCTGATGGCTCGCCATTGGCCTTGCTGGACAGAGGATTCTTGCCCAAACTCTCAGTCCCCAGTCCGGACCACAGGCGGTCCTTCATGCGTATGTGTACATGCTACTTGCAAGCACAGATCAGTCTTGACCTCCTTGCTCGTCGGGCGCGGATGTACACGGTACCGAGGCAGTACACACTAGCATTTCTGTACATGATCATGTCTTGCAATGCAGCGCTAATTGTCGGAGAGACGCAGTGGATTGAGAGCTCGACTGGCTCACGGTGCCATTGGAATTCTAAATCTCGAATTTGAAGCATGAATACGGAGTACAGTGAGCTGATCTTCGGATCTGGGGGAGGACAGAGCACACAGCAGGCAGTAAGCCGTAAGCAGTACAACATAAGGTGCTACACTGTGAGATGTACTTAACCCCGAGTGTCGCGTCGGGGCGATGCCAGAACAGTCCAGTCGAGAAGGAGATGTTGAACCATAATGTCATGTTGTGTTCGGATACAGTATGATGCGAAGCGAGCGAGTGGCGAGACTACAGCAGAATCATGGGTGATTTCATAGAACAGCACAGTATCAATGATGAATGCACCGGATTGGTAAAGCGACAAGCGCGTTGTGCGGACCTGAATTCCACGCGTGGGTGAGAGGGTGGTGCAGACCCTTCGGCGGGCTTCGGCATGGCGGCTGCTCGCTGACTATTGGCCTCGCTAAAATTCAACGGGCAATGACTTCAAGTCCATGGCTTGATGCCTCTGCCCATCACCGACGGCCGATACTCACAGAGGGGTGGCGATAGGACGCTGGACGGTTGTGGCTGGAAGGTGTGTCTAGGCACAACATCGGGGCATTGTATTTATATGCAATCCCGGAGGCTTTGGCCATACCACAGTACCTGATAGCCAAGACGAGGTCCTGTCACAGCCTCAAGGGGAGATCGTGGAGCATGCTGTCTCTTCCGTGCATTGACAATGGGAAAGTGAAGACATACAGTAGCGCGAAGGACCGAGGCCGTTGGTCAAGGGAGGCCTGTACTTGGAGGAATACTGTCCAGGGTAACCAGGTCGCTCCCCTTGTCCTTTGGCGCTCAGGGAGGTGGGAGGGCGGGAGAGAGAGCGTCAATAGCCTCGCGCCGCAAAATAAAAGAGATGAGATGACTGCACATGGATTGCCGACGTGATGTTCCACCGATTCACCGATGACGAGTCCTTATCACTGCATGTAACGAGAATCACCGACGGAATACTGTGCACTTTGATGAAACTAACATGGGACATCGTGGCCGGGAGAGAGCGACGTTGCTTTTCGAGCACTAAACAGTCCAAGATACGTAGCGACTGGGTACTGTGCTCCGTTGAGGGCGAGCTAGTTCTTTCAACGGGCACTTACTCCCTCGTCCCCAGGGAATACGAGGTACCTCGTACCTCGACCCGACGAATCGGCTTGTGCAGGTGTTCGGGGTTTGTGAGAACAGTCCTCCACAGTACTACTCTCTGGAGCCCGGGAGGATCTGGTGGTGGTTTCGGCAAAATCTCCTTGGGGGGTGATTGCCGTTCGCCCGGCGAGCGGCCAGATGAACCGGTGAACGACGCGTTGAGGACTAATTAGCTAGTTAATTTACCACTCGTAGGTCCTACGGTAGGCGAGGACGTCGTCGAAGGGCACGCATTCACCGTGGCCACGAGACGGGCCAGGGCAGGCGCCGGCTAGTTAAAGGCCGGAGTCGAAATAAGGTCCGAAGCTGGGTTGCTAGGCGCTAAGGGCGGGCATAGGGCAAGCCACATTCTTGCCGGATGTCCTCTCTCGCACGGGCCCGAGATGATGGTCTCACACTGATACTGTACCACGGGTGGCCCTAACCTGGGGGACCTAGTACTGAGTACTCGTACGCTGCTGTGTCGCACAGTAGGCAGGCAGGCAGGTTGCCAGACTCGCCGAAATGTCCGAGGATGGCTTAATTCTGACTGCAGGCCACCAGCGGGCGAGCGAGCGAGCCCTGGATGCCACGTTATGGTGACCAGGGTACTGGTAGGCTCGACTCATTCCTGAGCCACGACACTCACTCATGGAGGACTCGTGCGCGGTGCAGTGTACAGGAGGCAGAATCTTCCAGCAAGATGGACGATCAGGAGCTTGTTTAGTTGTACCACGATTGGCGAGCATGGCGGGATTAGTTGGGCTGAAGAGGCACAACATACATAGTACTGCGCATTCACTGTCAGGTGCCGCCCTGACGCGCACGCACATAGTATGCATCATGCACAAGCTGCAGGACTGCACTGACGACCATCAGGATCTCGCCCTCCTAGACCTGGTCAACGCGTGGATGATCGCTGCACATCAACCATTCTGGCCTGTTCGCTTGTTGGCGAAGCTGGCTTGGCTGCTGCACCGCAATACTCGGTGCCGCACAGGCAGTTGATCGGGTCTTTCTCAGCAGCGTGCGTGCACACTGTACCTGAGCGAACTCCGTGCAAGAATGCGGGATGCGGAAGCAGAATTGGCATCAAGTGGAACATGACTGTCCTTCCGAGGCGAGTGAAGCGAAGGTGAAGTGAAATGAAGGTGAACGTAATCTGCAGGAGTTTAGGCTCAGCGGTGCTGCTTGACTAGTGAGTAGCGAGCTGTCGCCTGTCAGCTTCAGGCATCGCAACCTACTGCGAAGGTTTAATTGTGCGACTTTGCACCCAAGTGTGGACCGATCAGAGGTACACGGCACGTAGCACAGCGACACGAATTGTCCTGTGTCACGGGGGTGATCAAATGTCCATGGAAGCTCTCATCAGAGGCTTCGTCAATGACACTTGCGCAAAGGTTCTAGAGAGCCCGTACGCCGTACGAAGTAAAGCAAGATGCACAATCAATGGGCGTCAGGGCTCTTCAGTTTCGAGGAGTGGGAGGCAGGGAACCAAGTGGTCGCCGCGGGTCGCAACAACTGGTTTCAAATTCCGACGCCTTCCTGGGCGATCGTTCGGCCATCTTTGTTTCGTATTCGACGATCGTCGGATGGACAGCCCTGTTCGTATCCGAAGAGGGACAAGCGAGGTTGTCGCGGAGTCACGACAGACGCACGACTCACGAGCGTCTGCGGCTTGCAGAAAGTGGCTCTCCACTGTTTCTTGCCAACGAAAATCTCGAGAAGACCGGCGAAAAGATCCGGAACAGTCGGGATCTGGATATCGATCAATCATGATCAATTCGTGGAAGTAGCAAGTCCGACGGAGAGAGACCATCCACAGCTGACGACAGTGCAGATCGAGTCGTGAGTTATACCGAGCGAGGTATGCGATGAATCAGGAAGGTTCCGTCTCGCCTTCAGGTTTGATTGCAAGCATGCTGATCCGCCCTGTGCATGATGACAGCTGAGCTTCATTTGTGCTGATGGCGTTTATAGTCTCGCAACATCCCGCTTATTCTCACTACATACCGGCCACTTTCCCATACATGGCATGTGTACTGTCCCAGTCGGGGCAGGGGTGTCCAGCGACGGTGACGGAACCGGAGGGGGGATATCAGGCCTGTCAGGTGGAACGGGGCCAAATGATACGCAATAGTACTCCGTACGGAGTACATTTGACAGATACAACGTTAATTTGTGGGGGTCAAGCCACACGCCGCCCTGTCTGGCCTGATCCAACGAGCGGGATGAGAAGAAAATAATGCTAGGAGGAGAGGGACCGTGTTAGATCAGCAGTAAGACGAACCACTCGAGACAGAGCCACCAGTGAAGAATCGACGGCGTCGTGGAGACAGTCCGCCCTGGAGCGCCTCCCACCGATCGACCAACGGTCCGATAGGCCCTCTCCTGCCTCATTATTCCTCAGGCTTTGCTCACGCTCCGCATCCGATGCCGAAAAGCCTGAGGGAGGGGGGGGCGGGGTTCCTGCCTCGACACTCTTCACCTGCGCTTCAGAGCCTCCAGTGACTGTCACAGCGATGGGCCTTCTGAGCCCTCTTGCGATCCAGCTGGACTGCACCACGGTGGACTTGTCCTGAAGTCACATTCTGCGTAAACACCAAGGACACTTCCAGCACGATGACCGCCTGCTTTCCGGTCCCTATCCGTGGACATCCCCTGCCACCGTCATGGCCAGCAAGCGAAAAACCTAATAAAGGACCCCCATTACTGAGGAGGGTACTAGCCCGCTCGTGCCACTGCCGAAATGTCAGACCGCTTCTGGTAAAGCGCAACGCTCAAGAAGTATGGAGCTCACATCCGCCTATTTGCCCGCTACGGGGACCAACTACTGAAGCCCGATCGGCGACCCGTAATGCGCACAGGCCTGTTTGCTGGTGGGCCGGCCGGCCGCGCTGAGGGTGGTGTCAGTGGTGGTGGTGTTGGTGGTGGTGGTGGCTTGCTTCTATGCCAGAGGGGTCAAGCGTTCAAGCGTTCGCGCCCTGTTTGATCTTCGCCTAGCCTGAGGCCTGTCAAACTCTCGCTTCAATGCCTGCTAGACCAAGATTTATGCGCCGTAGCGCTGCTTGGCGATCTGTCGCTGCCCTTCCCCTGTCGCTCGTTAGTGAAGCCATCCCTGGTCCGGCGTCTCATTGGCTGCGCAACCTCTCTCGTCTGCTCGTTGGCCAGCGATCATGAGTGCTGGAAAATCATGCAGCGACAAGGTCAACCTGGCGGACGGACGATACTCATGAACGAATGCTGGCATGAATGGGCCCGAAGTCATGGCTATAATCATCCTTTAGGGACATGTTCGCACTACGTATGCATCAGACTTGGACTCGCTCCGTGGGCTGTAAGCGGAGGATTGTTGGATCTTGCGACGCAGTGAGAAAGAGACACATGGGATGGCACAGAACGTGGAATTCATCGAAGACATAGTCATTTTCAGCTAATCTTGCAATTGCTCTCTCCTCGTCCCTGCCGTGTCAAACTCGCCCGTTGGGTCTGTACAGGCCGCCCGCACCTTGCGAGGCGTCATTATCAGGTAGTCACTAAATAGCTTGCCCAACAGAGAAACGCCGCCCATCCCAAGCCACTGAGGCCTTCCCGTACATACACAAGACCATCCCTCGACGTACAAAACCTTTTGGTACACTGGAGCTTTTCCCCCCCCGACGAACAGGACTTTGATATGGTGAATCCTCGCCGCCTACTCCTTTTTGGGTATCGTAGAAGCACATAGCATAATCAACAATCTGCACCACCAGTGTGAGTTGCGGAATAATGATACAAGTCGTCCTCAGACTCAGACAAGGACTGGGTAATCCCATTTGAGACGTATGGTCGGTGTCCCTGAGAGAATGCCCTCAGTCCAACAAACTCGACACCGTCATTCGAGAGTCCTTTTGTTGCGGAGAAGTTGCCCTCTCGGTGTTGGCCCCTGCACTCTCACTGACTGCATCCCGGCCTGGATGACGCATTGTAGGGTCTGGAAGTAACACTGGGCGTGGCAAATGTGAGAGAAGGGGTGCCTTCTCTAATGGAGGTTCTTGATGTTCCATTGAGCGATGAGTCTGCCGGTCTTCGTCGCCTTGCCGAATGCGCGTGCCATCGCTGTCATGATCTAAACAGATGCCAGCGCTATTTCTGCGCTGCATCTCCGGCCAGTTGTCCATTGATGGTATCTTGGTAGCAGGCATCCCTGTTCGAAGAGAGGTGACCGTCTTGGGAGAAATAGAACAGTTGGATTGATTGTCCGAGATGAGAGATGGTGCGTGCTGGTGAGAGGACGCCTGTGACACTTCAGTGGCCGCAGGAGAGGCTGCGGGCGGTTCGGGAAGATTCAACGGGGCCAGTTGATATTCCGATCGACTGGATGGCCAGCTATTGAGCCGCTGTAGAGGATTTGCTTCAGGGCAGAAGTGCCAGGAATTACTCGAATCAGGACCTGTGCTGGTGTTGTGCTGTTCATGCTGAGGGTGAAACAGGAGCCTGTGCTCTGTGCGAGGCTTGAGGCCATCGGTTTCCGCTGGCGGAGGCGCACTGAATCGATGAGGTTCTCCGAAGATGCTCGATAGACTGATCCCCTGCCGATGAGACTGAGGTGGACCAGAGAATAATTCTGGTACAGATTGCTTGCGCAAATACAAATGCTCGTGCAGTGACAGTGGGGGAGGGGCTGCAGGAATGGGTTGCGCCCGGTATCCCACTGCCTTCGAGGCAACCCCTGGCGGTACGGTACTTCTCTTCCTTCGGTTCATGCTGCCGTTCCACCAGTTCTTTACCGCATTGTCGCTGCGATTCCCCAGCCTCCTTGCGATTTCTGCCCAGCGCTTGCCCATATCCTGGACTAGCTGTTCGATCAGTTCACCTTCCTGGGCAGAAATAGGCTCGTGATTCAGCGAAGGCTTGAGGTTCTGGTGATAGCGCTCTCTGCATTGCTTCGGCGATCGATGTTGCATGTGTTGAGAGATTCGTACCCAATTGTTCGGGCCTTGTGTGCGGACAAGATGCAGCAGCGTCGCATCCTCTTCTGGCAACCATGGCCCACGCCGGCTGGACCGAGACATTGTGGCGGCTGGATAATATTTCTCTGGTTGATGACGAGCCGGGGTGTTCAACGGCCGTCCTCCTCAGGCAAGGAAGAAGAGAGTCTAGCCTGGAAGCTGTGTATAACAGAGGTGTTCAAGGATTGTTCAAGAGGCGCTGTTCGATATAGGTAGTATGTTGTATCCAGCGAAGGAAAATGGCCCGTTCCTTGGGCTCGGTAACCTTAATATTCGTAACGACGGCGCTGGAGGAGCCTGGAGAACTTAATACTGGGGACTGCCTGCTGTCCACAGGTGGATGTCGCGGACAAGGTCCAGGATCGATTGCAAGCCGGATAGAAGCGGGGACACGGCTCCCTGAACAGGTCGACAACTGATTTGGCAAAGTAAGAGAAAGTGGCGTTCCAGATGTTCCTGATATGCACTGTTGTTCCAACAACGGGCAAAGGCTATTCTTGTATACCCAACTCTCTGAGCTACACCCCCTAGCTGAAAGGCTCCAGAGTGCCAATGTCGAGTTGAGGCGATAAACAAACAGAGGAAATCGTTGCGGGGTCTGAGGACAAAGTAGAGCTGAACATCCGGGACGTTTGCCCTTCTCGTTGGTGCCCTAGAGGGATGAATGGAAGTCGAACACAGGGTTCAGGGAAGAGGCGCTGGGAGCACGAGCTAGCAGAGCGCCATGAATGCCCATTGAGGAGGCATCGAGGTCCTCTTTCGGAACGCCAGCCGATTGTTTGGGGATTGGCGGGTAAAGAGCAGCCAGGTCGGATCCACGACAGTTGTGCCAGAACTTCGCTGGTGTGTCGAGTCCGAAGTTTAACAAATGCCTGAGAGGGTTAAGCTCAGGTGTGCCGTTCATCGCCTAAGTCAGTGTGTGCGCCTGCCAGGCTAAAGTCCGCGTCGAGCCGAATAGGGATGGAAGGAAGTACCAGTCCGAGGACAGGGAGTTCGAAGCCTGCCCAACGCCGCTGAATCGAAGGAAGCGCTAGCCCTTCTCGAGCATGGACCCATATCCTTCGTCTTGTCAGAGCCCGGATGGGGCGAGGTTGATGCGCAGGACAGGCAATGGAAAGTTTGAGCCTGCCAAAACGCCATAGCTCCACCAGATCGATCTGGTGCATGGATGTCTGACTAGCCCATTTGATCACGACCTGACCAGGACAAGGATAAATTAAGGCCTTGACAAATTCGTCCTGGCAGCGCTGGACGATAGAGTTTGTGCTTTCCCCCTCGAAGGCACGGGACGGTTTCGCATACTCGAACAGTTGCTGTAGGCCTCGCAATAACCTGGTGCCTTGCCGATGATACTATGGCATGCTCCACGCTGATCAGCCGGGTAAAGGCGGCTGGGGGACAATCATCGGATAAGGTGGTACCTTGTATTGCTACCAACGGGATATCCCGAGGTACCGTCACAGCTGAACCTAGGTGGAGGTAGAAGGATGTATCCTCCGTACCTCCAGCAAGTCTGCTGCAATTGGACAAATGATCAACGGTGCTAGTCCCTGGTCACAAACAGAATCGACGACCAGTTAGCAACTATCGTTCGTCGCGGTCCGGCCACAGCACTGCGAGCAAGGACACAATGATCGTGTCCAGCGGGCATGATCAAAGAGCTTGAGATGCGCTGCAACGTGAGTGGTCGAAAACTTGGTCTTCACGTCAAACTCGTCTGTCACTAAAATTGCGAGTGCCACGGCTTGCAGCTGGGGCGGTTTTTGACCGTTGGGGCTTTGCCGATTCCTCGCACGATTGGGCCAGCACGACTAGCTGCAGATAGCTTTGGCGAGAGTGGGCGCCAATGGAAGCCGGCAGACAGGGATCACGATCTCTCCGGATCTGGCGGGCGGAGCCCAGTGACAGGAAAGCTACTCTAGACTGAGACGGTTAGCGGCGACATCAGACGACCGAGACGACCTTGCGCCACATTTCGTGGAGATAATCCCAAAGAGGCGGTGGTGACGGCCCTCTATAGGGGGAGATCTTCCTATAGGCCCGCCGCTCGTGCAGTCTCGACTGCGGTCAACAAAACTCTGGTTCGGCAAGATCATGACTTCGGCCGAGGTCAGTGCCAGATCTGGTTACATGCAGCACGGAGCCGGGATCCCTGTCCAGCTGTGACACCAGCTTCGAATCGTCTTGGGTCGCGCTCCTGTACCCAGTACACTGCGGAGGCTCTGCGGTCGTGTATCTTGTTGCAGTTGTTATCCCATGTCGACGCGACGCAGCGCGCAAAGCAATTCAGCTGGAGGATTGACCATATTGTTGATCATGGTCGCTAACGGACCAGTCTCAGTGTTTTCAGGTGGTGACATGTACTTCCATATTCAATTCCTACGGGCGCAGAGCCTGTTCCGGAAGACCAATGCCGGAGAAGGTGCAGCAATGTCTGGCGCAGATCATATGGCGGCCAAGTTTTCGTCTCGACTGTACCCAGTAGAGGTCAAATGGAAGCTGTTGGAATGTCGTTTCGTCTGGGCAACCGGAGGAGTGTGTGGGGTGTCGTCTTCGGAGGGGTGGATAGTCTGGGAGACATTTGGGGGGGGGCGTGTCGGACATGGAAGAAAGGCAGAGGTGAAGGTAATGTGAGAATGCAGTGACAAGGGAGCGCAACGAGGCGGGGCAACACAGGCCGGAATTCGTCGAGCTTCATGTGTCAAGTCAACATGCAAGAATCATCGTCGCCGCTGCACATGCACAATGCACAATGCACGGTACTCACACTGACTAGCCACTGGTACGAGTACTGAGTATGCCAGGTACTGTACATGCTGCGTCTGCGTCTGCGCCTGCGCCTGCGCTCTGCACACGCGTCCTCAGCTCCTTCGTCCCCTCCGGCGCACCTTCCTCTTTCTTGGTCACAGCTGCGCAGCGCTGTTTCCATTTCTCAGCTGCCTTGCTACAGTGAAGTGGCTGTTGAGGCTCGAATAAGCATGATCACTGTCCCCATTTCTCACACAACAGTCACTTCGCCACTCTCGACCGATGCGGCCTCCCGTCGACTATCCATGGTACTGGGTCTCCAAGCTATGCATGCCATTGTGTGACCGTGGCTGACATCGGGTGCAACCGTCATACTGTAGCTGGCCTTGTCCCTGTCATATTTCCAATTCTCGTCACGGTCTTCCTTCTCACCGACACTTAAACGTCCTCGGTCCATTGGTGAGAGCTGCAGAGTAGCCGCGTGTGTAGAGTCCATACTCGCACAACTAGCCCCGGGGTTGGGCCACTGCTCAATTAAGAATTGGCGATCGTTCGACAGTCATACTGACGCATGGAGATAGAACCGCCCAAGCCGTCGATCTCTCTATCACCACAGCCTCTCTACTGCGCCAATGCTGGGATGGGAACTCTGCATGTTGTCTCCCATACACCCTGCCCGCCACCGACCAAACAAGTCGCCAATGACAGCTGCAGTTGGACTGACCACAAGGTAGCCTCACCACGCTGATCTCGAACTTCTAGATTTCTCAATTGGCGGTCCACATTACTTCATGGGAACTTCCCAATGCTTGGCAAATGCCCGCGAAAGCAGTCCCTCGCAGGTGATTGCCTCGAATCCGGATTTCCGCCCTCATCAGAACTTGACAGAAGCTCGTACAAGGTACACTTCATGTTGACCATCCTAAGAAGAAACGCTCCCCGCCCAAGGCACCACTCAAAACTGGGTCCGCCGTCGCACCTTTCGACGATGTTCAGGCGGAACAACGTCATACACTTCGCACCTCGTCCAATCCATCCGTTTTCCAGAAATGTATGATTCAGCACACAAACGAGCTGCGCCCCAAGCAAATGCACACCTTCACATGGCTACCCGCTGACACTGCCGTCTTCCGGTAGCGCCGCCGGATTTGTATTGAGGTCAAGGTGCGTTCTCCTGTCTAACACCCATCTTGCCGTTCTCAGAGCGAGTCTTCTAGATGGTGAAGGATACCGTGTTTCCACTGGCTGCATGCATGCGCAGCCGCACGCTGTCGTTGGTTTGCCGACGGCCCGGGCAAGTCACTATTGGATGAAGCCTACAAATCAAATGAGTAGGTAGGCGGGTGCACTCAATGATGGTAAGCACTACCACAAACTACTTTGAAACCATCACTACTTCACATCTGTGAAACCAGAGTTGCATGGAGTATCACAATCCACCGAGTGATTGAGATGTTTGCCACGGCAAGCTTCTGAGCTTGAGATCTCTCAGCAAAGATTCGCGGTCGGTACCGGACTGGCGGTGAGACAAGAGCTCCACCTGGTCCAAACAGTAAACAAGAAGTCAAATGAGGCCTGAAGCTCTACGAAGGACTTCAGATGTGTCTTGCTCCTGGGCCATCTGTTCTCACCATAACCGGATGGCTTGCCGGTAAGAACCTCCGGGTTCTCCATACAAGCCGTCGACCGTGATGAGAAATGTCCTGCAGACTGCGCATCCTCACTGCAGTTCCCAAACTTTGTCTCTCCTCTCCACGTCAGCGCTCGAGGCGCCGAGCATGATGAAAAGAGCTTTTCGCGCACATATCCAAAGATTCCCACGCAGCCCCATAAGGGCCGCATGGAGCTAGGTCCAATGTTGAATGGGTAGTTTTCAACTAGCAAACATCTGGCATCGGCGGGGAGCCTCATGCGCGCAGATCCAGCCCGAGCACTAGGTTGAGAGGAGGGAGAAGAAAAGCAAAGGTGGAGGAAGGTGAAGAAATGAATTTTATAGGATCTTAGGGCTAAGCCAAGCAGAGGTAAAGAGGCATCTCGGTGTGTAAATGTTAGATGTTAGATACCGCTGCCTGCCGCTGCCTGCTGCTGCCTAATGCTGCCTGTTGATATGGTTGACTCGTTAAATGCTTGCCTACCTGTCTATCTGCCTGTCTGCCTGTCTGCTCGGAAATCCCTGTTGACCATCTGTCCGGCTGCCTAGAGAAAGGATGCCTAATTCTCAAAAACACCTCATTTGCCTAGTCGCCTCATCGGCTTGCTTTGACGGGGCAGAAGTATCACTATTATATGTGCCTTCAGAAGCGGAGGCACAAGTGCTCCACGGAGCCCAGGTACGTAAGGTAAATAGACAGATGAAAGAGGGCGTAGTTTATCCGTACCATTCACAATGAATGCCGAGACACACACGATGAAGACATTGAAGATCACATACAGTAGAAACAGGTTTCAGGTTTCACGTTGCAGGTTGCCGGTGCTTGCCTCAGCCACCCACGACGGCGCCCGGCGACGTACAGTACCTCTCATTGTGTTACTTGGTACTTGCATCACGCCCTTCTTAGGCAATATTCACAAATTCCCTCTTCCTGCCCTTCTGGCCCTTCTGGCCGGCGGCATTCTGCGCCTCACCCCACGTCTCTTCGTCGACGAATTCACTCTCCCCAGCAGCTTCCCTGACTCGGCGGCCTAGGACTCTGAGCCCCGCGAGATTGAACCCCATTTCCGACTTCTGCCGGGTGAGGGTGCGTCTTAGTTTGGCCCTGACGTCTTCGAGCATGCCTTTCATTTGTCGCGACGAGACGATTTGTCGCTGATGTGTCTTCAGCATGAAGAGCAGAATGCGGCACGTGAGCGGGGTGGCGCGCTCCTCCTGCGCCCAGAGGGCCAGGAATGTGAACAGCGCGGGGATCTGACTGAAGCTGAGGACCAAGAGCGCGTCCTGGAGCGACGCGGCGGGGATCTTCTGGAAAACGGAGAGCACGTACGAAGCGGCCGAGACGTTGTTGTGGGCGAGGAAGACGGGGTTTCGCTGCGGGACGGCGGCCTTTTGGCCAATTTTTCGCGCCGCGTCGTAGGCTTGCATCGTGCGCAGGTCTTCCAGGCCGAGTTCGAGGGCTTCTGCGATTTTCTCGCCCGCCATCAACGTCTGCGCCGTCTGTTTGCCTGCGGGACCGGCCTCGGCGGCGTTACCGTTCGGGTCGGCGAGCTCGTTGGCCTCGTTCTCCAGAGACGTCAACAGGGTGCTCTCGTAGAGGTCTTCGAGTTCTTTCTCGCGTTCTTCTTCGAGAAAGATCTGCTCGTCGGTCTGGTTCCATAGCCGAATGCTCTTGTCGTGACTTGCCGTGACGAGAAATTCGCCCGAGTGAGCGACGGCCATGGCCCAGATCTCGCCCTTGTGACCGTCTAGCTTTTGGATCTGCTCGAATTTATCGGCGTCGTAGTATTTGATGACCCGGTCTTTGGAGGCGGAGAAGAAATGATGCCCATTGCCTTCATTGTTGGTGGGCACGAATTTCACGGCGAGGATGCTGTCGTTGTGGGCGAAGAAGGCTTTGTGGCAGTCGCCGAAGTCGAGGCCCCAGACTCGGACGTTCTTGTCTGCGCTAGAGGTGACAATCAGTTTGCTGTCGTAGGAAACATCCATGGAGAGGACGGGGAGTTTGTGGCCGTAGAGAGTCAGGAAGAGTTTGAGGGTGTCGACGAAGAAGACTTTGACGGTCGAGTCAAGGGTTGAGACGGCAAGGAGGCGTTCGTCGGGCGAGAAGCAGACTGAGAGGATGTCGTCGACGACTTTGAGAGTGCGGGTGTGCACGAGGGTGAGTTTTGACGTTTTTCGAGTCGTGCCTAGCACTTCCTCCTGAAGGACTTTGAACTGCCAAAATTTGGCACTCTTGTCAGCCGAGCCCGTGACCAGCGACTTTCCATCGGGAGAGACTTGTAACGACCATATGTCTCGTTCGTGGGCGTCGATTGTGTCAAGTAATATTGAAGCGGCGATATCGAAGACTTGGAGGGTTCCTTCCCTGGTGCCCACGACGACGATCTTGTCGCCCGGCAAGAATGTTAAGCTGAGGGCGTGTCCGCAGTCCAGAGTGCGCAGACAGGTTTGAGTCTTTGTATTCCAAATCTTCAGGCTCCCCTGCGATGCTGTCGCGAGCATGCGGTCGTCGGAACTGATAGCCACGCAACGTATGTCGGTGCGGTGACCTGGCATGTCGACCGAGAGCGTTCGGTTGTATTCTGGGGTTTCGGAGGATTTCTTTCTCTTCTCGGATGCTGAGACATCGAATAGCTCTAGCTGATTGTTGGACGTCGCGACCAGGATCTGTACCGACTTGCCGGATTTTCCACCTGCCCAGTCTATTGACCTTACTTTCCCGCCTGTTCGGACGATAACGTAGGGAACAAAAACGTCCGCGCCGGTAGCTTTGGAGATGTCAGCCGCCTCTTCCGTGTCATCAGCGACATCGACGCCTGAATCCGCGTCGGCAGGCCCCTCCTTTTCTTTTCTTCTCTTTCGTTTCCGAGCGAGGGATTTCCTGATTTCAGTCTCTGATCTGATTCGTAATAACTCGACGGCTTTCTCTGCTCCATGGACGGCAATCAAGTCACGCCTGGGATGGAAAGTCACAGCTATCGGCCGATCACGTCCGTGGCGGTATAATGCTCCTCGCTCCCGTAAGATACTGTGTCCTTCCTGGATGCTCGCACCCAACTTCTCCTGCAAAACGGACTCATTGATCGACCAGACCTTGAGCTCGCCGTCATTGCCCGCAGTGATGCAGCCAGTCCTGTCTTTGGCAAGGCCCAATGCCCAGCATTCTCCATTGGTCTGTGTCACATGTGTCTCAACACAATGCTGCGTCGACAGATCCCAAACCTTGATCAAGGCGTCCTTGCTAGTGGACAGGAGGAAACCTTGCGAAGTAGAGGTCTCGTCGGTACCATCTTGTGCATCCTCTGGCGAGAGGAAATTGAGGGATGTTATCTGATCCTTGTGACCTCGCAGGCGGTACAAGCCAAGTTCTGCCACTAGATCCCAAACGATAATGTCGGTATCTTTCGAGCCGCTGGCCAGTCGGACCCCGGATTGATCAAAAGTGAGTTGCGAGATGGCCGTCCTGTGTCCATTGAAGGTAATGATGACGGTCGCAGTTCGTGCGTCCCATATTCGAATTTTCCCATCGTCGTAGCCCACGGCAAAGATGTCCAAGTCGACCAGACTTCGGCGTATCACGGTGACCAGAGCATTGTTGTCCTCGACGTGCCATTCCCGGATTTTTTCTGACTTCTTCAAGTCCCACACCAGGACGTCCTCGTTTGCGCCGACATAGGCACAACCTGCGCCACCTCTACCTGTCGTCAAGTCTTCATGGTCGGGAGTTGGGTCCCAGACAACATTCGCCGCGGTGGTACAGATCTGTCCGAAGGTCTTGCTGTGATCAAACTTCCTAGACAAGTCAGCGCCAGCACAGAAAGCCGATACCGAGAGCCAGAACCTACAAATATGACTTGACCATGGTGCAGCAGTTGCTGGCGCAAACTCGATGGAAGCCGACAACTTTTTTCTTTGAATGCGGAGAAGCGTGATTACATAAACGCCAAGCAATCGCGGACCCACCCACGGAGCCACGGTGCGTTCACTGACTGCGATGTTGCCGCCGCTGACAGGGCCAGCTGGCTACAGTTGCATGGGCACAAGGCACAAGGCACCTCCCCGCAGCCTTCCTTCAATGATAGTGTACAACCTCATTTGCATGCCCACCTCGTCCGTACCCTAGCTACCGAGCAGCCTCCCTCTCTCACCATGCTTCTCCTCGACTACCAGAATGTCCTGATCCAATCGCTCCTCACCGAACGCTTCTCCGGCACCACCCCGCCGTCGACAATCGACCAGGTCGTGTCCGACTTTGACGGCGTAACATTCCACATTTCGACCCCCACCTCGAAAACCGAGATCCTCATTTCCCTGTCTATAAAATGCTACCGAGAGCTCGTCGAGTATGGCGCGGAGCAGGTCCTCCAGCGCGAGTACGGCAACTACATCACGACCACCGAAGCGGGCTATGACTTCTCGATCCTCGTCGATCTCGACAACCTCCCGCCCACGCCGGAAGAGCGAGAAGACCTGGTCCGCCGCATCTCGCTGCTCAAGCGCAACGTCATGGCCGCGCCGTTCGAGCGGGCCTTTGACGAATTCGCCGCCCTCGCCGAAGAAGCCGCAAAGTATACGTCCGAGTCCGCACCCCAGGGCGTCGAGGAAGGCGGCCAAGTCATGGCCATCCACTACCGCGAGGAGGAAGCCATCTACATCAAGGCCAGCCACGACCGCGTGACGGTGATATTCTCCACCATGTTCATGGACGCGGTGGATCGGATCTTCGCAAAGGTGTTTCTGCAGGAGTTTGTCGACGCGAGGAGACGGGCCATCCAGAACGCCCCGCAGGTGCTGTTCAGGAGTGATCCGCCATTGGAGCTGCAGGGCCTGAGAGGCGTGGGGAAGACGGGCGAAAAAGGCGAGATGGGGTTCATCACGTTCGGTAAGCATTGCGAGCCATACGCATGTCGGAAGGCTAGGGACTGATCTGATGTTGGTTGGCAGTGCTGTTCCCTCGACACCTGACACGGCAGCGACGGGAAGAGGTCATCTCTCATATCCAGACGTTCCGCGACTATTTCCACTACCACATCAAGGCGTCGAAGGCGTACATCCACTCGCGCATGCGGCGGAGGACGGCTGATTTCCTGCAAGGTGAGTGCTTCTGACCCGTATTTTTGGGGTAGCATATCGGCTGACACGGCGACGCACTAGTTCTCAACCGTGCCAGACCCGAGACGGAAGAAAAGGAGAGGAAGACAGCAAGCGGCAGGACATTTAGAGTTCAAGGCTGAGATTGTGGGACCGTCTGTCGACTCTTCATGTACAAGTCGATATCGGTCCGATGAGGCCTCTTTCCAGAAGACTGGTATCAGTCTCCGACGACTTTGCGTAAATGGCTGCCCGAGTGTGTCTCTGCACATCTACGTCTGGATGCTTCTGGGGAACAGTGGAATGCGCAGTCCACCGCACGAGGTCCGAAATATATCTAGAACACACTAGAACTGTGGTCAATGGACAAGCATGTGGGTTGTGCACGCATAACCTAACCCCACACGTTCTGCTATTTCCAAGGATCCTGATTTGCGTAGCGGTTCCGTCTACTGAGGAACAGGTATACTACACAGTGGTCATGACACTAGCATTGCCATACCAGCTCAACATCGGATTCTCTCCATTCCTGGTCTCGGTCTCGCGTAGATCCGCCCAACTCTCCAGAAAGGCCCGGTGCCCACAAACCCGCGTCAACTTGCCCGTGACCGCCCTGTAGACGTCCTCCATGATGGCAAAGTCGGTCGGGAAGAAAATGTCAAAGAATCCTTGATGGACGAACGGCGTCGAGACCTGGACATTGCGTCGTTGATAGCGGGTCTGCACCACGGGCGCGTTCAAGCCCGGCACAGTGTCGGACGGGGGCAGGTAGTTGAAGTCGGACAACACTAGACGGTGCGCGGGGAAATGGGCAGCGAGAATGTCGAAGAACTGGAGCAACCGTGTCGGGATATACTCTGGGAGGCTTAGATTCGGGGCTAAAGGCAGGGCATGCCGAAGCCGCCGTATAAACCTAGGATATTGTGTGACGGGCGTGATGATAGGCGATCGTGCCGCGATTTCTCGAACACGAAGGTATCGTGATGCCAAGGGGTCCAGATTTCGATCATAGAACTCGAAGAATTCGCCGTCCGCGTCGATCAGTACGCTGCCTTGGAGAGGGGTCTCGGTCTCGGGGTCATAGCGCAGGGAGTCGTGCGCAAAGTTGTCTATGACTTCGAGCGCGAGGAAGAAGCATGGCGAGTGGACGTATTCTGTCCAGTCGAAGATGGAACGGTGCAAGATTTGGATGTGGCCCAAATGATCTGCGGCATATGGTGAGCGCCGGAGACTGGTCAGTTGTAAGTCGGCAAGAGAGGAGGAGATCTCGATGATTTTAAACTGCGTGCGCGAATAGACCTCGGGTTCGTGTTCGTAGATGTAGTCGAGGATATTGCGCATGAGAGTCCCGTTCCCGGCGCCCATCTCGTAGATGATCAGGTCATGGTAGGGAAAAAGGGTCATTTTGTAGTTTGTCACCAGGTACCGTGCAATGGCTTCGCCGTAGTAGGGACGGAAGAGTTCGGTGGGGGTATGCCACAGTTGGCGGGTCTCGTCGGGTTCGATCTCGTCCAAGGCGTCTTCGAAGTCGATGTAGCCTTGGTCCACCAGACGGTTGAATTCGGCGCCGTCTTTTATTGAGCGAAAGTCAAAAGGCTGACCTGCATTGAAGATTGTAGCGTGCTTCGTGAAGTAGCCGTAATTCGGATTATACAGGCTGTCTGTGCCTGGTCAGTCTGCTACCCGAGTAATACAGCTTGTTTGCCCACCATCGATGAATTCCCTCGTCAGCATCTTCACTCTTCGCGGCCGCTGGGTCCTGTGCCGTAGATCATGGGCAGTCACTCGGGGGTATTCCTTCAGTTGCTTCGACATGTCCTTGGGGAAGGCATCGATCCTCTGCTGCCATGTACTACCACCTCCTGGCTCGTCTTCTTTCCGTCGAAGGGAGTATTCGCGTCGTTGTTGAGTCAGCTGCGATGCTGAACGCAGCCGTGCTTGCTGGTGTGCGCATTGTAGGCGAAGGCAATTTCGCGATGGTCTTGTGAACAGCTGTTGGAAGATACGGGTCACTGCAGGCGAGTCCATCAGAGGATCAGAGGCGCAGTAGACTACTTGCGCACTAGGCCAGTATAGCAGCCACCTCAGACCACCGCTGACGGGAAATTGAGCTGCGTGGAACTCGGTCAATGGCCTGCTGCCATTAATGGGATTGGAATCGAATGCGGAGAAGTGGTAGAGATGCGTTTTTGGCAAGGTCGAAATCTACGGCGGATCCTTGTAGCTGCTACGGCGGATATTTTCAACCTTTCTGCTGTTCGAGTCCTGAGCCAAGTCCTCTCGAATAGAAGAGGGATCTAATGAGGCTCTCATCTTTGTTTGGGGGTCATCACAAATCCTATCATTTGACACGCTTATATACAGTGAGGTATTGAGACGGGAGAATATTAAAAAAGCAGGTATGATGAGGCTAGCTGCGGCTGATCATAGAGGTTTGCTGTGTAACAGACAGGAATGAACAACCAAAGTTAAAGACAGGTACGCCGCCTGCATGCTGGCACGAGACATCAGTGAAAGCAGGAAGGGGTCGAGCTGCAGAACTTCATATTGCTCTTTAGGCTGACGGCCAGCCTCGTCCGGTACAGATCAGTTCTCGCGGACAAATATCGCAAGGACAACGGACGACGCCAGCGATATATCGGCTCAGCAGTCGTACGTGTACAATCGGCGCCGCATATTGCTGCAAAAAGGACAATTCATAAGGATGCAATGGTCCGAACGCTCTTTACTCGTCGGCATCGCCTCCGGCCTCGCACTGGCTGTGATCATCGACCATGTCCGTCAATACTACACTTCAAAATCCAGGTCTTCGTCCGGTACTCAGTTTCAAGCCCAACCAGAAGATACCATATCTTCCAGTGGGATTAGCAAAACCCCTCCATCCCCGATCGGCAGCGGGATAGAGTCAACCATAGGCTCAACACCCCTGATCGTAATCCCCTCGCTCAGTGAGATTACAAAGTGCACAATTCTCGCCAAGTGCGAACACCTCAATGGCGCAGGCTTCTCGCCCAAAGACCGCGTGGCTCTCAGCATAATCACGCGCGCTGAGCGAGACGGCCTCCTCACACCCTACTCAGGGGACACCATTTACGAAGGGACCGTCGGGTCCACCGGCATCAGCCTCGCCACCCTCTGCCGCGCGAAAGGCTACCAAGCGCACATCTGCATGCCGAACGATCAAAGTCACGAGAAATCAAATCTCCTGCTTAAGCTCGGCGCCGTGGTGGAACGCGTCCCACCTGCCCCGATCGTCGACCAGGAGCATTTCGTTAACCGCGCACGGAACTTAGCGAAACAGCATACCGCAGACCCGCATAGACACGGCCGAGGCTATTTCGCCAATCAGTTCGAAACAGAAGCAAATTGGCGCGCCCACTATGAAGGCACCGGCCCAGAAATCTATAGCCAGTGTGCTGGGAACATCACCGCCTTCTGTGCAGGTGCCGGGACTGGCGGTACGATTTCTGGGGTGGCGGCGTATCTCAAGCAGCAGAACCCAGATATCAGAGTTATACTGGCTGATCCGCAGGGCAGTGGACTCTATAACAAGATCAAGCATGGGGTTATGTTCCACCATTTGGAACGAGAGGGCACAAGACGGAGAGACCAAGTTGACACGATGGTGGAGGGGATCGGCTTGACGCGCTCGACTGTGAACTTTGAGCGTGGAAGGGATTTAATTGATGATGCCATCAAAGTTACTGACCAACAGGCGATGAATATGGCGCGGTGGTTGGTAGAGCGCGATGGCATTTTCCTGGGCAGCAG